ACATGGGCCGGTCCGGGCCTTATTTTAAGCAAGGTGCAAGCCCAGCAGGAAAGACATTATCGGGCCAATAGCAAGCCGGGCTTGAGAAAATATATTCTGGCAGGGCCTGATCCTGAAATATAATTTCCGGGCTGGGCCAAAATTCAGGCTTTTGGGCCCTGGCTGGGCAAAAATTATGGCTTTTGGACCCGGGCCGGGTAGGCAGCCCTAGCCACAAAGTGGTGAATGCACTATGGACTCATGCGGGTCTTTTTGGCATCAGGCTTACTGAATTCACTGCATGCGTTGCTTAAGTGAGGCGCGCATTTGGGTGGTCCACCTGCTCTTGCCCGGTTATATAAGGAGGTCGCCAAACTCCAACTAGCATGGGCGAATTTATCTGTTTTTCTGCCTGAAAATTTTTTACAGTATCCACAGTCATCATCATTACCTATCCTATTTCATTAAGAAAATAGTTTATACAACTTTGTAATATTTCAAGTAAGGCACACCTGAAAAATCTATTAAAAAATGGTGTTTTGATATTGGAAAACTCTCTTTTGATCATCTTGAGCTCGAGATGTACCGATAAAGAAAAAAATGAATTTCAAGTCTTGTAAAGAATGCATCTTGTAACACATTATTTGGACCGTCTAATTTATTTATTTATTGACAAATAAATTTGAACCATCTAATTTTAAGATTTTATAATGTTTACAAGGTTGATGCTTTATACAAATCGCACCCTTTTAACTCTTTAACTGAAAGATTTTCACACAAAATAACTCCTCAAAATCAATTCATACGCCTGGGATAATAGATTAAGGATTTGGAGAGCTCAAAGGCATATTCAATGTTCTTCTTTGGACTAGTTTGCGAAGCAAATCAAACATGACAACTGCATTTTTACAATATGTGGTCAGTAGGTATAAAGCATCCATCTTAAAGATGAAATAGGCATTAAAGATGGATACAAATAGTTGGTTCATCTAAAACAATTGAAACTAATGGTTTAATTTTTTTTAATATAATTATTATTACTTGTTTTCAAATTTTTATTTATTTTTTCATATTCATTATCTCCATGTTAAAGATTATATATTCTCTAAAAATTAGGATCAAATTATATTTTAAAAATATATTTATTGCCAAGCCCGCATTTCTACAATATGCGGGCTGACCACATAGAAACCGTGTCCTAGCATTTTATATTCTAGAAATAAAATTTCAACACACTAACTTCTAAAACAACATTTTACTTTTGTAAAATTTCAAATTTATCTTTACTTAAAGATCAAAAGTAATAATTTTTTATAAATACACCAGTCACCACAGTTAACTCTAGACTAAGGTTTAAAAAATTGGTGATCTGAACTGGAATCGAGTAATATAGATCGAGAATCACCGTGGCCGCTCCGGATTTGGCCGAAAAAGGGATTCCGGCAGTTCCAAATAGTAGAATCGCTGATTTTTTCATGAAACCGCCGATTCTTCATCGAGTCTGACCTATTCTTCATCGATTCTGACCGATTCTTTAACGAGTCAAGTGAAAAAAAAGAAATGATGAATAACTTTTTCTTGAATTATTTTTTAAAAAATTAAAAAAAATTTATCAATTCCACGGATTCTTCTCGTCCAATCCACGATTCTCCGACATGGGTACGAGTGTCACCGATCCGTTTTTTTTAAATCTTGTTCTAGACAAACCCTTTAATGCAATAAACATTTTCCCTCCTATGGTACTTCAAAATCTTATGAAACTGTGTCTTTTTTCCCGACAGTACTCGTCTCTGATGCCTGAAAATCCTATTTTCAAGAAATTTCGTCGTTAACAAAAAGCCCTAATTTTGAGAAGCTTCGTCCTGAGAAAACCCTAATTTTTAGCCGAACCTTCACGCATTTGCAGACATGGCGCAAAGAGACATTTGTGCCCTAGGTTTCATCAAAGCCCGGCGAAAAAGTTAAGAGAGTTTGTCGGTTAGAGTTTTCTAGGGAAGAGCGGAAAAGGAAGGAAAAACCCTAATTTCTCATAGAGAGTTCCAATTATCTACTTCGAAAATGCAGTGGTTTTTGTTCTTTTACAGTGGCATGTACTTTTACTTGTTGATCTTTTTACAAGGCGCTTTAACGGTATAATACGGTGGTGATTTAGGGTTTTGGCAATTTGCAGAAAATAGTGGAAATTGAAAAAAAATCAAAAAATATGGGGGAAATAAATTAAGTAAATATATTAGAAATTATTATTGTTTTACCAAAAATTTATTGAGGTTCGAGGTTATGCCCAATTTGAATTTGGCAATTATTTTGATTTTGGGATTGAGAACGAAACTCTAGTTTCCAAACCATGATTTAATGGTGTTGGTCTTCAAAGGTTGTATCACTAGATCCCCAGCTTTGTTTTGTATTCAATAAGAGTATTTACTTTCGTTACAAGAATATCACAAGTACTTATAGCCATCCGACATGAACTCTGATAACTTAGGTTAGAAAGAAAAAGATTTAGCTATATATTATGACAATTATTTTTAAATAGTTATTTGTGTCTATATAGATTACAGTGGACATGTCTTGCTAAAAATGTTGAATAATTTATAGGGTTTTTATAGTTAGGTGGAGTGGATATATCTTGGCTCAAAATAGAGGAGCAGCAATGTATTTTTTCAAATTTTAATAATGAGAAAACGCATCGAATCTAGTGCACCTGCAACCGTGTGATCATTTTTTTTTAAAAAAAATTATGGCTCTTTTTTTTTTGTCAATTTTAATATTTTATATTCCGGTGCATCTATATTGACATTTTATATTTATGGCCTTGTTCTCTTATGGTTAGGGAATCTTCCTGGTTGTCTTTAGAGCTTAATGGTTTACTTTAAGCTCCAGTCTTTCTTTATTTTCTTTTTTTTATTTTTATTATTATTATTTTTTTTTTCATTTTAGACATGAAAAATGTTTATGAGATTATGTGACCAGTCAACGAGTTTTTTAATTTTTTGTTTGAATTTTTCAACACAAAATCGGGTTATTATGTGAAGTTTTAAGGTTGATGATAAATGATTGATGGAGGTGAGAGAAAACAGAGGCCATGAATTTTACGTTTTTGTCTCTTTAAAAGAAATGTAATTTCCATTCAAAATGGGTGAATTTCTGATGACTACTTTATGTAATTTCACCAGCATTTGCACAAATTATTTGGCGAAGTGGCAGTTCCGCCGTTTAAAAAAGAAGTTATATAGGTGAAAAAATGGGTATACATATAATAACAAAACTTCACGGTGTTTTTATAATAAAGTAAAAATAACGGATATTTATAATATTTTCTCTCAATTATTTTAATGGTTTCACAATCTGCAATGGTCATTATTTGCAAAAATAGGCTCCCCGAAAAAGATAGATTATTTCTAGGCATCATTTACTCACTAAATTCCCTGTTATTTTCGTTTTTGGGAAGAACTTACGGGTGCTTTTGTTATTTTCAGGACGGTTCCATTCATGGGAGAAAATTGGTTAATTATTCGGGCACCCATGCTTTTCTTTACAGGAGCTGTCAGTCGGGAGATTAATTAAGGATGTAGAAAGAGAGAGACGGGGGGCAGGGCCCAATTCTTATTTGTGTTTTGACCATATGTTTTTGTCTCTTCCATGTATATGCATGGTGAGGGAGAGAGCCCAACTCCTGCTTTCAGCTAGAACTTTCTCCTAATTTCAGCTAGAACTTGCATTCTTGGAAATTCATGCGATTTTTCTGCAAAAATTACATTAAAAAAACATTTTTTAAATTTTATAAGGGAGAGTTATAAAAAATATCTATTTTTTAAAAAACTCATTAAAACTAAATCTCAAAATTTTCAAAACCTCATCCATACCCCTTTTCACCACTTTTTGTTTTTGTTTTTTTTTTTTTTGACTAAAATACCTTTCACATAAGTATTAGATCGGTAAAGGTATCAATGTTAACCCATAACCATGATGGTCGTGGGGTTTAAGTCATTACGGTTCTATTAGGACCGTGAAAATGGGGCAACATTAGAACCATCACATACTTCAATAGTTGTGATGATCACCTTGACTATCACGGATATCAAACCATCGGGATACCCTCACGGTTCAATTAGAACCGTGATGGTTGAATAACCCATCACGTTGTTTTAAGTACCATGATGCTTCAAACACGATTCTAGATGACTTAAACTTAATATAAAGTCACTTAAAACCCACTATGACCATAGTTGTTAATGTATAATAGACGGCTGCTAGCTATGACACTAAAATGAAGAAGAAGATAGAGCGGTTGGAGCGACTTATGATAATCATTGGATCTAACTTCTCTTTCAAATGCAGTCCAGATGAAGAAGCTAGGTTTCCACCTCTTTATCGAAGTATGCATACTCACTACGATCTAAGCACCGGCGCAACTCCAACTCGCTCGTGTAGAGATAGTTGGTCGGTTTTTTCACCAATGAGCAAAGCCGGTTCTGGGGATGCCTTCACATATATATAAAACTACCATGAAAGGTATTTTCATAAAAAAAAAAAAAGACTATCATGAAAGGTATTTTTGTAAAAAAAAAAACAGGTTTTAAAAAATTTGAGAATTTTTTTAGTGATATGAAAAAAAGCAAAAAAAGAAAGAAAAAAAGGACATTTTTTATAATGTCATTTTTACAAAAAAAGGTACTCGAATGTAACCAATGGTAGATTCCTCGATGGTATAGCATATATACAGTTGTATACCATTATACCACTAGTGTACGGTACCAGTTGTATTTATATGTATACCTTGCCTTTATTATAGCACATATAAAACAGTAAGTAGCTGAGAGACCATTTGCTCTGAATTAATTAGACTTTGTACCGTTAAGCTTCTGCTTTTAAGTGCACGTATACAAACATCATTATTTAAAACAAAGTCTACAGGAGGTAGCCCGTGACTATCATCAGAGATCACAGCAGAGTCCAAGTGGTTTCAAATGCCTTACTATTTGTAGCACCCTATGAGCTTCACTGTAAGTCCACTTCAGGTAAGCTCATTTAACTTATATTTTTACTGACATTACATCATAGTCCCATAGAAATCTGAGCTGGGTTTTGCTTATTACCATTACTTTACTTGAAATCTGAGATGGGTTTTGCTCATCTTCAAATTTTATTTGAATTCTGAGATGGGTTTTGCTTCTTAATATTTTTCTTGAAATCTGGGATGGTTTTTTGTTTACGCTTGGATTTAATCTCAAAGAGGTGTCTACAGTTTGGCTTATATTATTTTACTTAAATCTAATATGGGTTTCTTTCCTTTTTATTATACTGATTATTGAAGATACGGGATTGGTTTCACTTGCTTATTATAATGGAAGTTTAGGAATACATTAGGTGGGCAGGCTACCTGCTCCAACATTAGCTTTCTGCCTTTGTCCTCCATGAAGAGGAGGCAATGAATCTTTTATTTCCTTGATTCCTTCATTTTTATTTGTCAATGGTGGTTTTAATGGGGTAGCGGTCGTCAATGTGCCTTTTCTTGCACAGAGGAGCAATTAATGCAACAGTGGCTCCCGCCACTTATCTTAAGCCAGGGGTCTAAGCCATTGACCTAGCGGTCCACTTCATCTTGGTTGGGCCTGTTTTTTATTGCTCTCTCTGTAAGTGGGTTTGCTGATTACTACTTAGTTTTCCAACCACCACCGTCGTACATTGTCTAAACTGGAGGGAAAAAGAAAAGTTCAATGAGGGACTTTAGAGAGGGAGAGTTTATTTAACTGCCCCCATTGTAGAGAGGGAGAGGGAATTAGTTCCTAACAGCCTTCAGCAGAGAGAGAGAGAGAGAGAGAGCATTAGTTTCTAACAGTTCCTGTCGTACATTATAGAGAGAGCATCCAACAATTATTATAGTACATTGGAGAGAGAGAGCTTTAGTTTCTAATAGTTCCTTTGCAGTAGTTCTGATGACGCAAGAAATTATTTTGGTTGCTCCTCTTTTCACCCAACTATATAACTCTCACTCTCTCTCTCTGCAAGTTGTGACGCAAGGCTCTCTCTGTCCTTGATTTAAGCGCTTGTGAGATTTATGCAGTGACCAATGGCGTCTCTTGTCATTCCCATGGATTTAATGCTTGGGTTCTCAACTTGGGTGAGAGTGTGAGTAACTCTTGACATTGAATGGAAAATGCCTCTTTTCCGGGGCAATATGACTGCAGTCGTCGTACCATTTTGAATGGTGCAAGTCATGATATTGGCTTATTTTGCAGAGGAGGCTCATCGGTGATGTTTTGACTTTGGGGTTCTGCTTCGATCTCAGGTCAGCCTTCTCATCTTTCAAAAGTCCTTCTTCTTACTACTTTTGAAAGTTAAGTGTGTGGATTCTCCTTCTTGGGGTTGTAATGGGGTTCATTTTTTGTAAGATCTCTTCTGGTGGTCTCATTTGAGTGTTTCTTTATTTCGGAGTGCTGATTGTGTATGTGAATGGATGGTGCCCTCCAATATGGGTTTTCTCCCTTCTCAAGGTTTCAAATGGCTACTGTTGTACTGAATTTATATATTTATTTTTTTCTAAGTTCTTGTTGTTTTGTTGATTAAGATTTCCATTTTTTTCTCTAAGTTCTGAATGTGGGTGTGAGATGCCCATCTCAAGTATGTAAGCTTTGCTACTTCTCAGAACCATGGTTCAGTCCTGAATGCGGTAACTTATTTCAAAATGTTGAGATTTCCTTGTGCAAACTGGGGTTGGACAGTCTTGATGCTGTTTCTTTTTCTTCTGCTTTATGTTGTCCATTTTTTTGGGTTCTCCTGTCTAATTTCCTTCTTTTCTTTTTGTCAGCCTATTTGTCTTATGGTAAAAGAAATGCTGAGATTTAGGCAAGGGAGAGCATATTTGTAAGCTAAAGCCATGATATGCGAATTGGGAGTGCCAAAGCACAGTTCTTGTGAGATGCTGGCCTACAAGTGCCACATGACATGTCCAGTGCCATCTTTTGAGAGGATATCAGCTTCGAAGCTCATTCGATCACAGAGGTGGAACTCATATGTTAGTGTATCACATTGCATATTACTTTTTTTTTGCCAATTTTTCTTTCTTTGTAATTAGTATGTGTTTTACCTCTATCGGTCCAATTGGGTGCCTCATTGGGAAAATCTTGGTTTTCAAGGTTCACTTAAGATTGGAAAAGCTAACTTTGAAAGGAAAAGTATATCATATATGTATGGAGTATCCTACTCAGGAGGGACATCCACTGCCTGTTGTCAGCAGCAGATGCTGGAGATGAACCATAATTCCTGTGTGTGAGATTTGTGCTGAACCACAGTTAATATTAGCCATGGATTTTGAGGATGGACGGTGGATTACGGGGTCTGTGAATGATATGATTTACACATACTGTGTATGCTAGACTTGCCCTCTTCAAGAAGCACTAGCCACATCTGAAGGTGGATGATTAATGTTTTCATGTCATGGAGTTGGTTTTAAGATAAAGATCTGACTGAGTGTCTAACAAACTTTTTTTCTTGATCGACAGATTTGAATGTCAATAATATGCATTTGATTTTCTTTTGTCAAATCCAATTATAGTTCTGCAAACTCATTATCTGGTGGGTAAGTGGAGCCTATGCTCTACAGTACATTTTATTTTACTAGATTGAAAACAGGTTTATATGATCTTTCCATTTTATAAATAGCACTTGGTCAGCCAACAAAAAGAACTGGTTTGTAAAAACATCATTTGAAACTAAAACTGTGCTCTGTTTCAGATGAAACATGTTATAGGATTTAGTACATTTAAAAATTCAGTAACTGAAACCTAGGTTTTTCGTACATTTAAGTAGGAAGCATATCTGGTCATTCACTTGTCTACTATTCCACCCACCATTTTTGGTGGTTAAATCAACTAAGAGTTCAGTGTTGCCACCCATGTTCTGGTGGTAGAATCAAAAGTAGTGAGTAGATAATTAAAAAATGTGAGTGGCTGAATGTACTCCCATTTTAGTTTTCATTTTCTAACTAATTGTTTCATGTTGGTGCATATGCTTTTATCTAGTGTGTTATTCAAACATGATTTATGTGCCCAAGTTACTGAACTTATGGAACCATGTTATGTTTGAGGATATATTTCTCCTTCTTTTCTGCACTATACTGGGAATACATCTGGTCCTTCTAGTCTTTGGTTCTGTATTTGGGTGATTCAGCTGGGGCTTGTCAGGCTACCTCTACCAAATGTTGCCGATATTAGTCACCATTTAAATTGTGTACCAAGGAGAAAGGAGCTAGGGGTGTGTTAAATTAGGAAGTATAATTTGTTTGTTCTCACATTTATGATCTATAAACAGAAAAGTTCCACGCTTAGCAGTTTCCAGAGAAAAGTTATGTTATTTCTGATTTACATATGCTACATTGTAGCATAAGCCTGTAAGAGTTGTCACGGGAATTCATCATGCGTGCATGCTGCTCATCAGAAACAGTATTAGTAGGTTTCTGATAATTTGGTTTCCAATTGAATCCATATTTACGCACCAATTTTTACTCTGTTTATCTGAAGTCTGTTTTGCTGAAGTTTGTGCAGAGGCTTCAAAGGTATATTTGTGTTTATTTATTAAATCTGCTTTCCATTTGGATTGCAGCGCCCCTACAAGTGATGTCCATGTAGACATGTTACCTGCGCTGCCTCAAGCACCCAGCCATGTGAAACTGGTAAAGCTGTTTGTTGTCTTTCCAATGAAACACTGATCCTGTAACTGTATCTAAATGTCCTGAACTTTGCTTTACTTCTCAGTGTCAGTCTTATCAATATGATGATGTCTTGTTTTTGGCTATATTATATTATACTTAAACTAGAGAAAGAATCTGAATAGCTCTTAGAGAATCAAATATATGAATCAAATGTACTTATTAGGATTGGCTCGTAAGGTGACACGCTGATATTTATTATGTTGGCCAATAAACTCACTGCCTTTCTTTCTGCCATAGCTTATTGGGGATCAGTTCTTGTTGTGGTTTCTCATATTAGTATAAGAATGATACAAATACAAGTGAGGCAAGTGAGGTTGAGAAGCATGAGATTAAGAGATTCATCAGTTATCATGTGAGACAGGTGGGGGCAGTCTTGGAAAAATTGAACGGTTAACCCGACATGGGCCTAGAAACGGTTCAACCGGCCTAACCGGCAAACCGGCTAGTTCAACTGTTCTAACAGGGCAAGTCCCGGATGGCTAAAAAATTGTTAGAAAAATAAAAAATGCAAAAAAAATCTACTAAAATATAAAAAAGTATATTTAAAGAATGATTAAACAAAGCACATGAAAATTAATGAAAAAAATGAATTCTAGATAATCGATTTGCGTCCAGGGGTATTTTTGAATTTTTTTAAAAAAGATGGGAAAATGTAAAAATAAATTATTATAATGATGAAAAACATTAAAGATACATTAAAAACAAATCCCTTAAATTTTGAGATTTTATATAATTTTTTATGTGCTTTTTTTAAAATATCCGGCCGGTCACCAAAACCGGCCGAGACCGGAACTGGCCTGTTCCATTCTAACCTGGCGATTACCGGTTGGAACAGATGATTTTTCCAGCAATGGGTGGGGGTGAAAGTCTTTTAAGTCTAGACCCTAACATACTAAGAAGAGAGCTATGAATCATGTTGGAACTATAAAGGACAAACTTGGAGGTGAATTTATGTTGGGCTAGAAGTGGGTTCTAATTCCATGTTCTGTTCTGTTTCCATCTCCCAGCCACATTTTGAAGCATCTAACATGTATACATTTGTTTTGAAATTTTCTCTTCTTTTGGATCTGGTAGCTAACATGAAGCTAATCAACTTTGTTGAACGTACTGTATATTGTTTGAAGGATCTCACTTGTTTTTCCAAACTAACTTGCAGAGTTGGGAGAATGGCAATGATAGCATTGATGTTCTGAAGACACAATCTCTTAATAGCTTACAACAATCATTAAAATGCGAGGTATGGAACTATACATTGACATAAGGGTTGATAGTTCTTTTTCTTCCTAATCATGTCAATAAGTTTATGGTAGGCATGAAGTTGAAGACATATGCTAGGAATGCTATAAGGATTTGTTTATTCTCTGGATTGTTTATTTGACAGACATCCAGAGAGATTTGGTGGAAAATTGGAGCAATCATAATAAATAAAATGATAGACCATATGTTGATTAATTTTAATCAAATAAGTGCATCAATTTATTACCCATCTGCAAATTCTTCTATAGCCAATGACAGAATCCTTTTCTCTGTCAATAACGTAACTTCTTGTACTGCATTCTGAACAGTGTAAACTTTTCAGCTTTGAATTGTTTGATTCATGCAGTGAGGAATTATGTTCTGTTGACTTACTAATTCTTAAACTAGTATCTATCAGTTCCATCGATATCTATGAGAAGGATGCTTGCATTATTCTTTCCTTCCATCATATTAGGGATACATTGTTTTCCTCTCAAAGTGCTGGATTTGTTTTTGATTCTGTTTACAAATATTTCTTTCCTCTTTCTGGTTTCATTCATACAGGTTGTGCAGCTTGAGAGGAGACTGCAGGACCAGTTTTCTCTACGTGGGGCCCTGGAGAAAGCATTAGGGTACAGATCCACCTGTAGTGATATTTCAAATGGCACAACCATCCCAAAGGTTGTTCTTTTCATTTCATTTTCTAGGTTTAGACAGAGAAATAATGTCTGGATGAGTCTTTCTATTCATGTGCTCTCCAAGAAACATAACATGATGAATTGTTGAAATATTTATAAACCATTGTTGAGGTGTGTGCTTGCTAATAGAGACCAACGTATGTAGCATAATGGCTTTTGCTGGATGATAACCATGCTTGACCGATGCTATTGATAAAACCTGTGTTGGTCAGATACAGCTGTAGGTCTGGTGATAGATAGGAATATTAGAAAGAGTGAAATTATTTCTCAGAATCAGATTTTCTTTTGGTGCTTGAAATTGGTGTAATTTGGAAGCAAAAGGTTGCAGGGCAATGGGATTCCGTTCCATAAGTTAGGATGACATAGTTCTTTGTCATGATCATAAGGAATCAAGTGCAACATCTAGTTTGTCAACTTGTTCCATCCATTCAAATCAACCGAGACAAGGAAGAACCAATGGTTTGCAATTGGTGCAGTCTACGAGTTTTGCGAGAATAAAAATAAAATTGGGAGGGTTCATTTCCATCTTGTCTATGTTTTGGACTAAAATGAAAGAGAGAGATCCCGAAAGAAAGAAAAGTACTTTCAGAGGTCTAGGGAGATCTTTTCTTTGGCTTTGGGAAATATGTTTTTTAGAAACAGAAACTCTCCCAATTGTTCTTCTTTATTTTTTATGTAGCTTAGTGTGGGAAAAAATAGGTTATTCTCTATGCATCTGCCACTTTAAGAACCATTTCTTTTACAGTTCATACATCAGTAGAAATATCTTGAAAACAAAATGAAATGCCATGTAGAATTACTGTTTCTTTTTTTGCAGCTATTCTATGGTTTTGTCCCTGATGCTTCATAAGCATGATCTTGCCTTTTCGCCATGGTAATATTTTTGTAGTCAATTAATGGAACTTAGTTTTGAATCTTCACATAAGCTGTATGGTTACTTATACTGTAATGGTCATGCAGTGTAGGTGTGCCATTTTCAATATTTACTTCAAATAAATTTGCTCCCTGGAAAATAAAAAGCCATCAGTTAGAATTTGAATGCTCTTCAGAAATTTTTGCTTGCAGCATCACTGCTTTCCTGAAATTTATTACTCCAGTAATCAACATCCACTTTGACTGTTTATTTGCCTTTGTTTTTTCTAAACATGTTGTCCATGGAATGCAGCCTATTGCAGAGCTGATCAAGGAGATCGCTGTGCTAGAGTTGGAAGTTGTGCATTTGGAACAGTATCTACTGTCATTATATCGAAAGGTATTTGATCATCATGTGGCTTCTTTACATATGGCAGAAGTGGGACACAGACGAATCTCAACTTCAGTTTCTGAGAAGGGATTACCAGAGCAAGATGGAGCCGATGTTATGCCAGATACAGAATTTCCATCTAGCCATTGTTCATCTTCACAAGGTTCTCATGAAGATATAAGGAAGGTGTCTGATGATGTTGGTGATAGAGAGGAGCAAAGAGATTGTAGTATCCAAAGTAACAAATCATCCCTTCTACATGGCTCATCTGATACTAGAAAGGGAACCTCTCCTCTTAGAGGGAACCCTAGGATTTTACAAACCTGTCATTCAGAACCCATATCTTTACCCTCGGTAATTTTTATTTCCTGCTTATGTTTTCAGGAAGTTACAGTGCAAAAATGGTGCTTCTTCCTCTCTGTTCTGATAGTTGCAAGGACTTGTTTTTCAATTTAGGTGAATGTAATACACATGTACCTATGGAGAATATATTTTGAAATTTTAATGTGCATAATGAAATGGATACAAGTGATAATTTCGTCAAAGAACCCTAGAATTGCAGAGGGCCAATATGTGACTATAACATAGAATGAGTAGGATCACACGTTTTATTGGTTCTTGAGAACCATACAATTTGTGAAATGGTGCTTATTAGAATTTTGATTACCATTACTGGAATGTACAATGAAATTATATAATATCATATTTCGGGCTTATTGCAACTTTGTTGAAAGATCTCTCATATGATCTCATCTAGTGCTCTATATGCATAACTGGTTAGGAAGCTATTATTGAAGTAATCTAGTTTTTTAGTTTCATGCGGTATTCTGACCTCCTTGCAGGAGATGAAGAGTGGTATGTCATGCCTTTTAAGTCTAGCAGATCTTCTGGGAACATCTATTTCAGATCACATTCCTGAGACCCCAAATCGACTCTCTGAAGATATAGTTAAATGTATGGCATCTATATATTGCAGACTTGCAGAACCCCCCCTTCCGAATCATGGCCCATATGTTTCCCCAACTTCATCCTTGTCTTCATTGAGCACATTGTCTCCACAAGCTCAATCTGATATTTGGAGTCCCCATTGTAAGAGTGAGGCTATGATGAACTCTTTTCCTGGTGGAAGTCCTAATGATAATCGTGGACCCTATAACATGATGATTGAACTACCATCAATATGTGTAGATAGTGACAGATTGAATTATGCTTCACGGATGCTGCAAACTTATAGGTATTGTATTTATCTTTTAACGGAAACCATAGAAAACAGTTACTGTGCACTGTTTTGCTTATTCAGTAGATCTACTAAATCAGCTTATTGTAGTATCTATTACTCTCTGCAATTTATTTGGACGGGTACTGCTCATTTTGTTTGAGGAAGAAAGCCATGAGAAACTTCAATGGCTACATGCTTTCATGTATATGATGATTCTTCCATAAGATGCTACCTTTTTCTTCATACATTTACGTTTTTCAGGTTGTAGAGCTTCTCACAGTTTCTGCAATGATCCTTCCGCTGCTCTCTGAGTTAAGCATGCACTGATATGAATGGTTTTTCAAGTGTTGTATGTCTATAGATATGATGAACTTTCAGTAGCTGGGGTCACTATGATTGTTAGCTCTTTGTACATGAGCCATAGTTATACTTTGATGTGCAAGCCTACTTAGCGTGGTCTTTACATACTGCTGCCCATAGAGAAGTACCTTTCAGGTATAGTTGTAGTTAAAAGATCAGCTCCCCTTTCCCCCATGGCATTTCACTTTAAACCTCTTGAATTAAAGGTGCCTTCAATGAAAACTTTTAAGTTGCGGCATTTTCTTATGCCTCGCTTGTTGATTTCTGAATTCAAATCCTTATATTGAATCAAATCCCTGGATTGAGTTGTAGCATTAAAAGTTTGTATTTCTTTTCACGTGGAGCATATGTTAATTTTTTATTCTGGCTTTTGCTTATATATTGAAAGAGTATTAGGTTTATACGGAGGTCTTCCTTTTACTACTTTAAAATTCTAGAATTTGCACTGGTGTGTTTTTAATGTCATGTCTAATTTCAACTAGGACTGAACCAGGCAGGCATTATTGCTTCACCACAATGTATAATAATATTTCTTTCTTGCAGGTCATTGATCCAGCGACTGGAAAAAGTTGATCCAAGAAAGTTGTCACATGAAGAGAAGCTTGCCTTTTGGATAAACATACATAATGCCTTGTCAATGCATGTATGATGTAAAAACTCTATGGTTCATTTGAGTCTCTCATTATTATTCTTCAGTAGGCTGTTTTTTTTCACATCCAAACTTGTGAGTTGCTTGGTTCGCCTTTTAAGTTACATGAAGACCTGAATTGGCTATTGCTTCCATATTACATGAAGAACTGAATTTATTATTGCTTCCATATACCATGACATTTGTTCCGTACAATGATCATTATCCATGCTCCATGTTATTGCACAGGCATATTTAGCTTATGGAGTTCCTCGAAGTAATTTGAAAAGAGCATCCCTACTTCTCAAGGTATTGCTACATGCTAGTTTTATACGAACTTCATTTTACTGTTATTCCTGAAAGAAAATTAATATTCTGAAAAAGAAATTGTTTTTCAGGCTGCATATAATGTGGGTGGCCAAACCATAAATTCCTACATAATTGAGCGATTCGTTTTGAGATGTCATACAAACCGTCCTGTTCAGGTATGATTTGCACATTTCGATTTTTTTTTCTCCAATGTTTCAATCTTGAATGCAATTGAGCCTTTCTTCTGGTCTCATTAAAGAATTGCATTGCAAAATGATTATCAGTAAGATACTATAAGATAGTATGTCTCTATTAGCAAGCCATCCTTCTTTGTGTAATTTTTGCTTTACCATGCATTTGAATTTGATGGTGATAATTATTCGTGTTTTGTCATGTGTATGCAGTGGCTAAGAGCACTATTTTCATCAGGGATGAAGATGAAGGGCCGAAGTGATTTTCATTCATATGCACTTGACTGTCAAGAACCACTTCTTCACTTTGCCCTTTGCTCAGGAGGACATTCGGATCCTGCGGTACGAGCTTAACTCACCATGTATATTCTTTACAAAATCTCCCTTGTCAATTGTTTAGTATATGAGAATAAGAGAGTAGCCAGTCTGTTCTTTTTTGTCATTTCATGTTTTAAGAAAGTTTATAAATTATGATGAACTAGAACAGGTTGCTGTGCTCATGCATTCATGGATTCACCTTGAATGCAAAATCTAGCAAGGGGCATTTACTCTCTCTCTTTCTTTCTCTCTCTCTCTCTCAGGTCCGTGTTTACACGGCAAAGAGGATCTTTCAAGAGCTCGAAGTTGCAAAAGACGAGTACATTCAAGCAACTGTTAATATTCAAAACGAAACTAGAATCCTCCTTCCAAAAATTCTTGACAATTTCTCGAGAGATGCCTCAGTAAGCTTGCCAGACCTCTTGCAAATGATCCATGGCTGCCTACCTGAAACGAAGCAAATTTCCATGCACAAATTGATCCAAGGAAAACCACATCAAAGCATTGAGTGGGTGCCTTACAATTTCTCTTTCAGGTATTTAGTATCAAGAGAACTAGCAAAGGTGGTCCCTTGGATCCTACATTGATGTGTTTTATAAGTTTTCCCCTTGGTGATTGTCTACCAAAGTTCTTCTGCTCCAGTGTCTAAAATACCCTTGAAGTGGACATGATTGCAATGTCCCTCTTACTGGCTGGGTAATAGTTTGCCATTTTTTGTACTTCAAGGGTATTTTGGATATTCTATGAAGCTGTTGGATATTTGGGATATTTTTGCAATAGCCCCTGATATTTTAGTTTCTAATTTGATGTAAATAAACTGTGCCTTTGCCCTTAATTTTTATTTTATTTTTTAATTAGAGAAGGTAACCGTGCCTTTGGCCTTTGAAGATTTGTTGGCTTGAATTTGGACAAGAAATTTATAGTATAGTGTAAATCAATTTTATTCAATCTTGTTCTTGTGTGGTTAAGCAGTTGAATGTTGAATTGTGTCTTTCCATGACTACCATTGAAGAGGCAAATTGTTTTGGGATAGTATACTAGGCTAGCATATGGCTTTCAAACAAGATGCTCGCAACTCAACAATCTGATGTAATTAAGATATTGTTCAGTGTTTGGTGAGAATTATCATTATTGAGATCTTATCACGATACCCTTGTACATGTCTTTTGATTCAAAATTTAATTGTTGGCACTGTAATATATTATATTAAATACGTATATTATCTAATTTTTTATTTAGATTAAGAAATATGAATTCATTTATACACCAATGAATTCAAATATATTAACTAAGTATATTATCTTTTCTTTCTCGTTGAGTAATTTAGAGGGAGGGCAGCCCCTACTTGTAGTAGGAATGAAACTCAGACATCGTATTATGGTGACGCAACACCTTGACCACCTAGCCTTGAGCCCCTTCTTCAAAATAGGTAATGGTGACATTGGTAAATAAAATATTGGTTTTAAATTGTATTTGACAAATTTTAGCTTTTAAATTCGATTTAAGCTGAAATCAAATAATAATATGTGAGCATATTTTTTTGGATCATCTATATTCTAATTAATATAAGTCAGGTTGAATTAACGGATTATTAGAAAGCAAGTTTAGGCTGTTTTAGAGTTTTTGTAATTTTAAATTTTTCTAATGTAAAAGATCAGATGAGATCAAGCTGAACTCTCAAGGGTTAGGTTTATGAGATGTAAACCTTAAACAATCAGTATAGGGTGTACCTCTAAATCTTGCTAAAAGATGCAGTTTTGTTATTGGAAACTCCTATGATGATCTAAAAGTTTATTTTCATCCCTAATTACTAAATTTAAAACTTCAAAAAATGGTCAAGATCAGGCAGATCTATAAACAATTCGAAAATTTAAAAATAGATTGTCAAGATAATATGTTACAAAAGGCTCTATTTTTAGAACTTGAAATCATGTCCTTGCATCTTGAGGCTGAGATGATTAATTGAAGGGTTTTTTGAAATTGAAACAACTTTATGGATAGATTTTTTAAGTGTGATTCTTACTTCAATAAATAAGATTGACCCCTTGTATAAAACTATCGAAGTCTTAATTCCATAAATCTTCTTAACTTTCTTTTTTTTTTTTTCAAGTAAAAGGAAGAAGTACAAAACCTCATTAACTTTTTGGGGGTTTTTATTTATCCATTTTAAAATTTATATGATTTCTGCCAATTTGAAATCAAATTTGCTTAAAGGGGAAGGTAATTGAGCAACAACTTAATGATATTTCTTTAGAGAATTTTCATATCTAAATTGTTTGGTATCCTAATTATATATTTTGTATATTATATTTTCTAACCTTGCATATAAGAGTTGAAAATTATTTTTAATTAAGAATTTGCTGTTTAAGCAACAACTTGTTATAATGTAAATAATAGTCTATTGCCACGATCACTTTGGAGATGATCTATCAAAATCATTCGAAGTGTTGAACATAACAAATATTTATAAATATATATATATGGTGTGTATCTTCATCTACCATATTTTATGTATTAGATGAAGATACACACCATACTGGATAACAATAGGCATGGTATAAATCCTCATCTAGTATAATACACCAGTAAGATGCACTTGCATAATAGGTTTTATTGAAACATTATATAAACAATATAATATTTATAAAACTATTACGAGAAACAATCTATTGAATGAAAAATGACCGTGTCTATGTCTCTATACTATCCTATGTGATAGAATATTTTATTTATGTGATATTTTAAAATAACACAAATTTTAATATATCAAGTTAAATAGCATGGAGAGGATATTATTAAAAGGGAAAAGTTTATATAGAGTTGAGGTTCTATCAAATTTGAGCCTACTTCAAATTGCATGGATATCTCGATATCAAGATGCATGGACATAAGAAAAATGGATTTCAAGTTTTGAAAATAGTGTATTTTCAAGATTTTCAAGTTTTCATAGATTAGTCGATCTGCACTATTTTTTAAGCTTTAAACTTTATAAATAAATATAAAAATATATTTTAAGGCTATCACAAAGATTTCTCATATTGAAACCACATTTTTTGATACTATTTGAAGGTAGGCTCTAATTTGATTGTTGAGAGCCTAGGCTCTATACAAACCGTACCCTTATTATTATATTGTCAATTCAATTATAGTAATGTAAAATATAAAAATAGATTAATACTATTACAATATTTTATATTTCTATTATAAAATATTTTATAATTATTATTAGATAATTAATTTCATCTCCATTTTTTAATCACACAAAAATAAATAAATAAATTACATAAATAAAATGCTATTAGGTTAATTGGCAAATAATACAAACAAATAAAATACAATACCACAGAATAAATGAAACTAATTTTGTTACCTAACCTTTTGAGGCTGTTAGAATTTGTTGTTGTCAAGATCCTATGATTAACTGCATTTTTTTGTCGAAAGTAAAAAATTCCAATAAAAATAATTCGATGAAATCAGAATATAGAAAAATTAGAGAGAATACAGAGAGAGAAAGAGGAAGAGAGAAATTTTAGAAAGGAAAATAAAACTTTGAACTAGAGAGAGGGGGGAGGGAGAGAGAAAGAAATATAGCCATCTCCAATGCCTATATTATAATTAAGAAATTTTTAGAGAGAGAGAGATTAATGTATAGGAGATATATTACTCTTTTATCTTGTGACCCATGTCTAGTTGGAAAAGTTTTCGTAAGGTACTGTTAAAATAAGGCGCAAAAGTTTTCGTAAGGTACTGTTAAAATAAGGCGCACTTCAAAAAACCGTTGGAAAAGGTTTTTCAATATTAGAAAACTTTCAAATTGATCATTTTGACTTCAAGATGTATGTGTAAAGAAAAAAAAGAAAAAAACCAACTCCAAGAGTCATAAAAATACTGCGTCTTGAAACGCATTATCTGAACAGTCAATTTTTAAAAATTTTAACAATTTGTAGATTTGTTCAATGCTTTAAATTCCATAATTTATGGTGATGATAGATTTGCATGCCATTGCAAAGCTTTCCAATTCCGAAACTATATTTTTTAACATAGTTTTGAGGTACGACTTACTTTGATCGTTTAAGATTTATTTTTGACAATAATTACCATAATTTTTTAACATAAATTTGAGGTACGTGTTACTTTGATTGTTTCGGGTTGATGCCTTACAGAAACTCCACCCTTTCTAATGTACATTCCCAGGTGTAAAAGAGATCCAAAGCATTTCAGTTGACTAAAATAATTTTTTTGAGAGTTAAAAAAAAGGAGGGAGAGTATTGAGAAGATAAATCTTAATCTGTAATTTTAGAGAGGATGGTAATTGGAAAGTATACTATAAGATTGTTTATCTTTTACTTTGGCATTGAACATAGAGCATTGATTTTACTATGAAAGGTAAAGTTGCAGCAACCTATCTTTAGATTATAAAATTTAAAGCTCCAAAAATGGTGTAAATCTAAAGAGAGAGAAAGGGGTCTTCAGCCTCCAAAATCATAGCTCTGATTTTATAATATAAAATCAGAGTAGCATACCTTGTTATTTGTTCCCCTTAATTTATCAGAAAGAGAGAGAGGGGAGGGAGAGGGAGAGGTTTTCCGCGTCAACACTGTAGCTATGATCTTTCAAGAGTAGCATACATTTTTATCATCCCCCTTAATTTATTAGGTGCACAAATAAAGGGCAAGAGCATCGCCATCACGGTCACCAGTTGAAAGCCGCATGTTTCTGTACTCTTCATAACTCATGGGTCGATAAAGGCGTGGATGCTCCCTATCAATTAGCTTAGTGTGGACCTCCATGGTGGTCCCACCTTTTGGTCCCAATAAGAAGAAGGCGATTGAGACTCTCACTGTGGCTTCTTTGCACATCACCTTGTGCTTCACGTTCAGGAACCTCCCATTGCTCCAAACCTTTGTTGTTCCATTTTATTTGATCCATGCCCAAATAAGTACCGGATTTAGTCATTTATCGTCTATGTAGGAGCATATTGTTCATTTGCTCCCTCAAGTAAAACCGAACCTGGTGGTGGTATTTTGCAAAACAAAAATTTTTATAGTGCAATCTCTTAAGCCTAGCAACTACCTTTAACATAATAAAAAAGAAAAGTTCGAGTCGCATATCTATGTGCTTGAAAAAGGTCTCATGATTGAATGTCTAATTTTTGGAGGGCAAAATCAAATTGCTGAAGAACTCAAAGTCTAATTTTGTTTGAAAATACTAATCTAACAAATTTTAGATGGATCCCAAAATTTCAAATAAAATAATTCTCTTAAAGAGCACTTTTGCTCGAGGGAGTTAATGTATGACATTGCTCCTGCAAATGGGCATTTTCAAGGCTGTGATTATGATGGGGCCACGGCTTTGCCAAAATCAACACCTCAAAGACCTTGCCGAAGACCACAAATCTGTTACTTATGATCTTTGTGAATTTTATTCCAGCATTAAATTTGAAGATCCAAAAATAATCTAAACCTAACTAATATATAAATATTTGAAATAGAGTACCTAGAAACATATTGTAATATAGATCATTTTTGGACTTGAAATCCTGTTAGTTTTAGATGAGATGGAATTGATCGATTTGCACGTTTTTTTGGTCCGAGATTGAGTTTTATGGTAGTTTTATAAAAGTTGTCAACCAAAACAACTATCCCCTTTTCTTGAGATTCCGAAAGACTGGATTGCCCACAAACATTACTAGAAAATAATTTCCTTATTGATCTATTAAAAAGTGGATTTTGTAAGTAAGCAAATGTGATGTTTGAATGCACCGAAATATTAATAATTGAAGAACATCCCTACAAATTAGTAGGGGAACCCTTCCCCGCTCAACTAAAAAGAAAAGAAAGGAAAATTGTTTCACGGTGGGCAGGACCGCAAATCGAGGGTCAAGAGCTATAAAGCATACTGATGCAAATAGGTGGTCCATCTAAAAACAATTGTAACTAACGAGGGGGTGAAATGTTTTCTTAATATAATTATTATTTTTAATTTTTAATTTTTTTTTATATTCATAATCTTCATGTTAAAGATTATATATTCTCTAAAATTTAGGATCAAATTATATTTAAAAAATGAGATTGTATACAATGAGACTATTTACTTTTTGTATAAGCCGGTCACAATTACTTATAATCATCCAATGTGAAATCTACTAGCTTAAGTGTATCACAAAGTTTCTTTTGAATTTTAAGTTTAGTCAATGAAATAAATACAACCATCTAATTTGACATCATGATCAAGATTAATTATAATTGTACCAAAAATAAATTATCTCATTATATACTTTTTCAAAAAGTATATTTATTGTCAAGTAAGTGTTTCTACGATATGCAAGCTAGCCGTGTAGAAACCGTGTCCTTTTATAAATAAGTGAATGTTATGTTTGAATGCAGTGAGATATTTATAACTGATGAGAGAGAAAAGGGTATAATAAAGAGAATCCATGCTAAAAGACAAATATATTTGTTGAAAAGAAAACAACATAATTGCTTGTGGCAAGTGATCTCATGGGGTTGAAACATCCTTCAAAAATACTTACCCAAAAAAAAAACATTCTTCAAAAATTATCTTAGGGTCATTTGCTTAAAAAAAAGTGAGCGTATACTACGCTCTCTTAGGAGTATATATTATGTTTACTCTCTCAGACAAGATATTTATTTGGGAGTTTCTTCTTGTTTGAAATTTTAGAATTCATCTGGATTTTGGGTTTTAGAACATCTAGATAATTCCCTCCAAAAATTTGATGGTTCCGGTGTAATCTTGGGATGCTTTTTTTTTTTAAAGTACATAGAGAGATGAGAGTGTTTTTTGTTGTTTGAGGTTAGTTGTCGTGCTCTAGAGATCACATCCCCCCGGGATCTAAAAGATCGATGGGTATATGAATAGTATACTCCCACATGGTTACGAAGTCTTTTGGAAAGGAACAACTTATTCCCCACCCTATTTGTTATTTTTTTTTTTTTTGAGAGAGGAGCGACGATAGAGAGATGAAATAACAACTCAGTTTACGCGGATGTTTAGAGAGAGAAAGAAATGCATAATTTGGGAGTGAGTTGAGAGAGAGATAGTAGTGTGTGTGTGTGTGTGTTTTCTCTTACCTGAGCCATGTCACCAAGTATGACAATGAGAGAACCTGGTAATGGCTCCACCTCCACAAATTCACCATTTTTACTCATCACCTCAAGCCCACTCACTCTCTCATCGTCTTGTAGCACAGTCAGGAAGCCTGAATCAGTGTGTATGCAAACCCCTGTTTCTCCTAACTTCTCTTCACTGAACAAGTATTTGTTGATCCTGAATTGGCAAGCCCATCCATTGAATAGATCTGCCTCTAAACCCAAGCTCTCCGCCATCTTCGAGGCCACATCCATGGCGACTTCATAGATTTTATGAGAGTAGGACTGGATGGTGTCCCTATCATTTTTAGAGAGAGGAGATAAATTTTCAATTAGAGTCGCATTTTTGAGATCTCTCTCTACACCCCAATTCAAACAAAAAAATAAAAAATAAAAAGAAAGAAAGAACAAATCTCGTGTGGCGCAGATTCTGTACAACACAGGTTAGGAGAAATGTACAACACAGGTTAGGAGAAGCAAATATTTTCAAATGGAAGGATCGAAAATGACAAGAAGAAAGCCCAAGAACACGGTTGGAAGTAGTTCGAAAAGATATAAGGATTTATGATTTCCCCAAGAGCACGACCTTTAAGAGAGGTTAATAAGACACCAGGACTCATATAGCAGACCCAATTAATTGAAAAAAAACTACGATGATGATGATGAATCTCGAACTCTAGTAAGAATCGGGCATGGCTAGAGCAGTTATCCACATCAAAAGAATCTTGAACTCTAGCAAACAATCACTCTCTTTCAGTCGATGGATGAATCTACAGCACGGTAATCATTCTCTTTCTAAAGAGTGATCCATGATGGCTCTGCTCTCTTAAATTCACTTAATTTCATGTAAAATTTTAAAACGAAGGCCTTTCCGTCTTTTCTTCTGAAAAAATTAAATACTCAAGTAAAATCAAAAGAAACCTCCTTAGCCGATTCTCGCTATAAATAGAAAACAACAACAACACTAATAATAATAATAATAATAATCATAATAATAATAATAATAATTGTAATAATAATTTCATATCAATTTTCTATTTTTAATGCTAAAAAGATGAAGATAATTTCTCCCTTATTTGATCACCTTTGTGGATCCGAGGCCTGTAACTGATCACAAAAAGCTTGAATAGCTTGTGGAGATGGAGCATCATAGAGACCCAGAGCCTCATAAAGTGGATTAATGGCGTTTGGAGCCATATAACCACTGCCATTTATGGCATCAATGTTTTGTTTCTTGATTTCCAATGGCTGATCTAGTAAGCATCTGACTGTTGATTTCATTTCGGACATGGATTTAGACGGCATCCCATGGTTGATAAGCCTGAAGCAACCAAATTCTTCACAGCCTTTTAGGAGAGCTGAAGATTGTTGAGGAAAGCACTTAAGGTCAATTACAGGGATTCTTTTCACCATGGCTGAAGCTTTGAGGATGGAGTTGAGAGAGAGAGAGAGAGAAAGATTGTTTATGATGTATAGAGTAGAGAAGAGAGAGGACTTAATTTATTGAGTTGAGAAGAGAGAAAGACGTGTTATTCTACCGAATGGATACTCTTTGCCTACATATTTTAAGGATGAATTTTAGAGAGATAATGACTTTTTATGATGCAGTGATTGATTTTTTAGGAGAGGGAATGAGTTTTGAAGTTACTTTGCACCTTATACAACTGACCTGAACTGAGAAAAGGGGGACTTTCCAATTTACTTTTCCATGAGGATGAGGGAACAGTATAGGAGAAACGTCCCATTTCACTTTTTTTCCTTTCTTTTTTTTGCCCTTTTGCTTAAATGGTAAATTTTTTTAATTAAATTATTTTAGAAAGATATTTTTAGGTTTCTATAAGGTTGCAACTTTAAACAATCCAACTAAGGCATACCTCCAAATTTTATCATATCTCAAAATCTATTTTTGTATCTAATTATAAAAATTTAAACTTTAAAAACGGTTAAAATCAAGTAGAACTATAAACATATAAAAATCTTGAAAATGGAGGGTCTAGATAGTGTGTTGCAAGATGCACTATTTTTGAGACTTAAAATCATTTTTTTTTTTTTTTGCCATATTTATATATCTTGTTGTCCAGATGATCAATTAGAGAGTTTTTCAATATTAAAACAATATTTTCTGATAGATTTTTGAGGTACAAGATTACAACTTTATATAAACTTTTTTCCTTTTTACAAATTAGATATCACTTTTAAACTTTTGTTCTCTACATTGCAAGCCACATTGTGTGCTCCTGAGGGACCATACTATATGCGCTCTTCAGTTCAAATATGAAACTTTCACAAATTAGTTATTGGGATACATTGCTAAGCATTTTCAATAACAAAAAAAAAATCCTTATGGCAAATATCAACTGTAGCAATAATTGTTACTTGGGAGGCTAATAATGTCCTTTGTATTTTGACTGGTAGATTGTAATTGAGGCTTCATACCCTAGTTTTCGGACATTTACTTATTGACTGGATCACTAGGAAGAATTTTGTCATTTAATAATCGAAGTGGGGTAGGTCTGTCTCCACACTAACAGTAGTTTACCATAACAAAAACATGCATAAGAATTCAACTTTAGATGGGGTTTGATGGGACACCGCTTATTTGTTTATTTTAAAATAATATTTTTTTTAGTTATGTTTGTCTAAGCTCCCTACCTTATACTATACAAGTAAGACGCACTTTTAAATTTTGCTGCAAGATCTAGTTTCAATGTTGAAAATCTTACAATGATTTGATAATCCATATTCAATCCTAATTATAAAATTCAAAATTATAAAAACAATGTAAATTGAGTAGATCTATAAATATTTGAAAATCTTCAACTAACTTATTATGAGATGTATTATTCTAATACTTGAAATTGTTTTTTATTATATATATATATATATATATATTAATACATCTTAGAGCTAACCAATTGAAATACTTTCCAACTTTAAAAACACTCTTTTTTCTCTATTTGATTTTTGAGGTTGACCTAACTTCTATAATACAATGTTGCAAACTTGTGCATACTTTATTCATTAAATTTATCAAAATATTCTTAACTCACTATAAAAAGTCACGAACATCAACAAGTTTCGTGTGATGGCTGGCCAATGAATTCTTTTCAGATTGTGTTTTTCCATGTCCCCCATTGAATAGACAGATTGTTTTGCTTTTGCTCTTTTGGTTATTTTTCTGGCGCATAAATAGGACCCACATAAATATGGTCTACTTATAAAAAGGCAGAATATCCCATGTTTACTAGCTGTATAGTGTGTAGCATGCAACAGACAGAGGGATTATAGCAATTACAAAGGGAGAAACCCTAAAACTTGGTGAATCAATCACCCTACCCACTGTTGTTTTGGCAGAAAATTGGCCTCTTTGGACCTCAGACATTTTGTGATGGAGACTTGGGCTCAATAACCCGGCAAGTCACATCCATAATCTGTATTTTTTAACTCAGCTTTACACTTCAAATCACCAAGCATATCCCTCCTATGGACCCACATGTCGAATACATAAATTTATCCAAACATTTGTAAGACAATATATACCCCTAGCACTTTTAATGTTTTTTATTGTACATAATAGGCATGTGCATACATAATGTTAAGAAAACAAAAAATAAAATCCCATTTTATAACTCTTTAAGACCAATTTACTCAAGAAATATGTCAGCTACGACAATGGGAGAAACAATACAATGGGGGAATTAAGGATTTTCCCATAAACACCACTTGAGTTTGCAATAAACATATGGACCTGTTGTCAATATGCGCACTAGTCACACATGTGCTCATGTTGTTGCATGTTAGGTCTTACATCGTGTAGGAATAGGCTCAAGTCTTAGTGGTCGGAGTTGTGGGTTGCTACAACATGATGTCTTGAGTTCTATTTCTGTCATGGGTAAAGACCCCATCCCCATTGAACCACCCAAAAAAAAAGCTTGTGTGGGTTTGGGGTTCTATTCTTTTACCCCAAAAATGTTTTCCTCTAAAAGTGCTTAAAAATGGGAGACTTAGCTTAGGATGCCTCAATTAACTCGAGTTCTATTCTTTTACCCCAAAAATGTTGCCTCCAAAAGTGCCTAAAAATGGGAGACTTAGCTTAGGATGCCTCAATTAACTCGAGTTCACACCCTAGTGAGTCTACACCCTAGTGAGTATGGAGGCAAAACTTGAGGGCTTGCCTGAAGTCCCGCCTAAACCTACTTTCCTTGTTTAAACATCATTGATCCAACGAGAAACTTACCCTAATCGGACCATGTGAATGGAGTTCAAGACCCTAGCAAGTTCTAGTCCAACTTGTTACGGAATGTCTATGTTGTCTACAGGGTTAGAAGGAATGGTGTATGCTATAATCGATGTGTATGGGGAAGGGTAGGTATAATATCTTTATGTTATGGATGCATATACATAGAGGTTGTACGTTCCAGAGATCAATGGACATAAAGAATTCTCTTAATATGATATCAGAGCATGAGATCATCTTTGCCCATTCCTGTTTTTGTATGACTGAGTCTATTGTGTTGCTATTGCTCAACCATGTTTGTTTTGGTTTTGCAAGTGGGTATTTTTTCTTTTTTGGACAAATGTTAACTCATTTATTGATAGAGGATTACATGAAGGAAATTACATCATTAGAAACAAAAAGAAAGGGCAGAGAAGCTCCACCTTTAGGAAAATAATCTGCCAATGAATTCGTCTATCTATAAACATGCAGAAAACAGAGCGACAAGGGCTCTACCAAATCAAGGATCTAGAACCAAAGAGATCTGAGCTCCCATTGAACTCTTTGCTCCTCAATACACCATCTATTTACATTCATCGAGTCTCCTTCAATCACACAACGGTTTCTACGATTTCTGCTAATACAAATCTTCAAACCCTGTATAGCAAGGCTAGCAATTCTGCATGATTGGCAATGGCTATACCTATCGGCCTAACATAGGTGAAGATAACGTCACCAAAACAATTTCGCACGACTCCACCAATTCCAGCCACCCTTAGACTACCGAAAGAACTACAATCAAAGTTCAATTTTAAACCACCTTGACAAGGTGCAACTCAAATACCATGCGGCATGGCCTTGAAAACCCCCATGGCAAAAAGATTCTATATGTTAATCATGATGTCTGGCTATGTGATACTCCATCCCTCTTTTATAATCGATAGCCAACACCAAATGGATTGTTTGATTTTGGTGATGAGTCTATCAAAAGATAAACACACCCCTTCAAATGTCCTATTTCTCTCCTTCCAAATTTTCATTAAGAACCACTTCTCTAGCTGGCTTTCAACCACATTGCCAATCTTTGGTAAATGTAGGAAAACTAACTGTGAAACAACCCCTATCACAGATTGAGGGAGAGGCACATTAACCCCTAAGAGACGAAACAACCAGAACTGTATCCATGTGGCTAAGGAGCAGCGAATGAAAGGATGCACACTAGATTCCCCCCCATCTACCTTACACATGAGGCAAATATTGGGGTTTTTTTGATCAATTTGTAGAATCAATCTTGGATTTGTACCATCTAAAACCAGTTGTGTCGGCTCTTCCAAGCCCATTCTTATTCTTTCAACCGTTTCGACCGTTTTTTTTTATCCCTTGTGAAGATCTCATATATTTGTCCATTGCTCAAGTCTGCTGATTGTTGTAACTCGAGCCTGCCCTGCTTGTGCCTTTTTTTCCTAAGGCTTGTTGATTAGTCTTGGATCTTACCATTCTGAGCTTCTATTCTACTAAGCATCTCATAATCAAAGCCACACAAATCTTTTGATTCCCATTTTCAAGTTTTGGCCTCATCTTTCATCCCTGAAATTTTACTGTAATCGACAGAGCCAAGCGTGCAAGTTCCTTCGTCTTTGGCGCATGTTTCTATCTTTCGGCTCAATCATGTGATGTTGAGTTTTACCATTACTGTATAAATTCAAAAATTTTATGTGATGGTCTCAGCCTTCCATCCGCTTCTGCTCACCGCCTCTATCAAAATTCAAAACTGATTTTGAAACAATAATCAACCTTCTGAAAATCGTGCACTTTGGTGTCATAGTTTCTCGTCAATTTTCATAGAAGGAGGCTGTTATTAGCTACTTTGAAGGGGTGTTAGCAAGAAGCTCCATGCATTTAGAAAAACACGTATTAGGAACCAATTGTCCAGATGCCAATAGTGTGGTACTCAAGCTTGAGAAAGGAGACCAAAAAGAGTGAAATATATATATATATATATATATCTTGAGGAAAGCATACCAATTAGAGCCCCAATTTGAAATCAATTGTCTTACTATTGAATAAGAAGTTACTTTGGTTAATTATGTGAAGATAAGGGAACTTTAAGGTTATTAGTTTATTTAGAGGGCATTTGATTTGTTATGAGTTATTTGGGGGTAGCCATTGGAGCTGGTTGGCAAGCTCTGGTGTCCATTGTAAATGTAGGTCCTTGTTATCTGGTTGGTTTGACTAGTGGCTTGTTGCTGGAATTTCATTTTGGCCTTGGCTTGGAGCTGAAAGTGAAGAATATGCAAACATATTAGTAACAAGAAAATTGGTTTCTAATGTGCATGCTTTTGTTTTTATCAGTGTTATCAAAATTAGAATAACCACTGGTGTGGAGTAGTTAGGGTTATGGTCTAATAAAAACTGGTCTAACCACTAATCGGGCCATTTAAACTAGATTCTCATCAAAAAAAAAAAAAAGTACTACAAAAGAAGAAGTTGCCCAACTCAATTTTTTGATCTAGTAAGTGAAAAAAAGTAGTTTGACTAGCCAAAAGTCATATATATTAACTTTGACAAGTTTTTGACCGAATCAAATATTTGTTTTGGATCAGAGTAGCTAGGACCAAGGGGTAATCCAACTTATTGTATGCTGGTCTAGCCCAGTCAGTCTAGCACTTCCAGCATTGAACCAACCTTTACCAACCCTTTTGCCCCAAGCTGATCCAAAAGAACCACAAATTTTCATCATTTGAGCTTATCCGATATTTGAAGTACTAGACTTACTACTTGCAAAATAGTAGCAAAGAGCCGGCTCAGTATTTTTTCATTATTCGAGCCAGATAGTACTTGAAGTACCACATCGACTTCTTAAAAAAAGTAGCAAACATAAAGGACCTAGTCGATTATTTAAATGTTGGATGAAGATTTGGAAGTAAATGTCCTACAAGCAATCTAGTAAAAATAAAAAATAAAAATAAAAATGACCTTCACATGAAATACGAAAAAGTTAAAAAAAAAAAGGAAAAGAAAAAGAAAAAGAAAACATGGATTTCTTTCTAATTGTGAAAGAAAAAAACATGGAATGATATGGGACACAATTACTCCTATTTTAAAAATTTTGAACTCCGAGTCTAATTATTCTCTTAAAACCACGCGATTTAAAATCCTACGACAAAAGAGTACTTGTGACTTCCTTGCGTCGGAAGTAAATACTCTCACCATACATTTCCTGAAAAATAGAAGTTCTGCACATCGTTTCCTCTCTCTGGATTCCGGAGTGTTTTGCACCGTCACTCGACGGTTCTCTCGCCCTCTCTCTCTCTCTC